ATTAGAATCAGTTAGTAGAATTTTGAGAATAATAGACTTTTTTAATATTTTTATTAATAAAATTATATAAAATATTACTATTCTCAAAATTTTACTAATTAAATAACTTATGCTCTAAGTAAACTTGTTCAGTGCTCAAAAATGAATATATATTCTTTGAATTAAAACTGAACTGAAGATGTTCATGAACTCTGAACTGAACATTGAACTAAACTGAACAAAATTTAAAAGTTCAAAAACTGAACTTATTTTTAAAAAATGTTCAAGTTCAGTTCAGTTTAATTTTTGAACTGAACCTGAATCTGATTAAAGTTCAGTTCAGTTCAGTTCATAGGAACTCTAGTTTTTAGTATGTCATACTAACCTGGGAACTTCCATTTGGCCTGTTTCACTAGATTATATACTCTGCCTTATGATTTTTGTGATTTATCCTGGGTTTGTACTGACTAATTACTGGCTTGCATTTTTTTGTTAAGCAAATACACAGCTATTCTCAAAGTAAACCTATCAAAGCCTCTGTATTCCATATCTGGCTGACTCAGTTATCACAGTTGCTAAGGCTCCCACTTGCAGTTTGGTGTAATTCAATTAAACTGCTATACCTTTGTAAAGTTCACTTCAACACCAGTACTCATATTCAAGTTTTTCTTTTCTATTTTTGCCTTATTGGTCTCTCTCTTACTCTCAATCTGTGATCTGAAAGATTCAACCCTGACTAGGCTTTAGATACCTTATACTCTATCTCATTATAGTACATAATTTTATAGCACCTGTTTTTTTTTTCTAATTGGGTCTGGCCAGTCTCTAAAAATTACCTAGCTCTTGTCATTAGATAGAACCTAACTCCCAAATCCTAGTTACAATGGATAACCATCCCAGTTTTCCACATTAGCTAATTAGATTGATATGCTAGCTTTCTCTCTAATTGGTGGTTGGGTTGGTAGATCACTCACTTAAGAATCTTGTTATTATTTAGTTCTCCAATCTTAGCTATCACTTCTAAATTCAGCCTTCCTGTAGCACTGTTGAAAGTATTCACTATCTCCTTACTTGAGTCTTCTCAAACAGTTTTTGATTATCTCAGTTTCTTGGTATTTCTGCACCAAAGCTTCTATAATGAAATAGTATAACCAAGATTACAGATTGTAGATCTACCAATTGATAAATAATCATTATTTAATGCAAATCTATTTTTTGAAAAATGTTATTTATGGGATTTGAACTCTAGACCTGCTGCTTGGTAGGTAACAACTAGACCACTTCACTAAGTAGCCATACCTCTTAGATTTGCATTTATATGTCATAGTTTAAAATTATTATTTTTATTAAATTGGGTTGTAATTATTAAAAGCAAATTTGTAGTAAATTTGGCAATAGAAGATCTTTACTTTTAACTTTTTTTCTACTCTTATTTTAATATTTTTTTTTATTTTTTTAAATACTAGAATATATTTATTGCTATATAATTGAATATAATTTTTTTTAATTCAATTAAATGTTATTTAAGAATTTTATTAAAATAATAAATTAGATTATTAGTAATATCTTGGGTTTTATCAATTATATTTGAATGATTTTTATACTATTCAACTCATCTTAATAAGATGAATCAAATAATATAAAAATCATTCAGTTTTAATCAATAGTTAGCAAGATATCTTTGTATTTGAGATTTGTAAAAAAATAATAATAGTAGGGTTTTGTACTAAATAAATTAACCTTATATTAAATAAAATTATTTGCAACTTATAATTTTAAAATTTGGAAAATTTTTTATTAATAAATTTTTGTGTTATATGTTTATTAGTTTTTTGATTTTTTAAAGCTATGATCTAATTGGCCAACCAACATGTAATTGAGGTATCTAAAAATGTCTGATTAGCATCTATATACTGTAAAAGATGCAATCGACACTGTCTATATTTGGTAAAATCTCTATCTGTATTTGTCAAGTAATTACTACTAAAAATAGAAATTATTTACTCTACTCTTAAGCTAAAAAAAAAAAAAATTAGTAAAATCAAGATAAAAGAAAAAAAAACAAACAGAAAAAACTACTCACCAAAAACTGCCAATTCCACATTTTAGCAATTTCAAACAAGACAAAACTTGTACTAAAAAAATAAAAAAAATTATTTATATAGCAAAAAAAAAAAAACACAACAAATGCCAAAAAATATATCTATAAAAACACCAGAAACACACAAGATCACTAATAATAACACTGAAAAAAAAATGCAAAGCCACTCCAAATGCTAAAGAAATACATAGATTATTCTATAAGAATGCTAGAGAAATACACAAAACCAGTGTTTAAAATTTAAATTTATGTTCTCAGAAAAGCTTAATTTAAATTATTAGTGTTCTCAAAAAATTTTTAATGTTCATCTAAAGGGTTGAATTAATCCAAATAACCTAATTTAAAAACCCAACTCTAAGACTCTTTACATCAGCTTGAGTCAAATTATTTTAAATTATGTAATTATTGTAGCATTACTTAATTTTATAAAATAATTTTTAAATAACAGAACTATGCAGTTCATAATACAAATCCATAGATCGGGTTAGGCTCTAAACTCAACCCGAATGACCTTTTAGAGACTAGTTTATTAAATTGAATTATATTAATATTTTTTGAGAACATTATAAAGTAATAAAATGTTCTCAAATAAGAGAACCTTATTTTAAATATCAATGTTCTTGAAAAAATTTGTATGTTCTTTGAGAACCATGAGAACATTGAATATTAAACCCTGCACAAGACTACCCTACAAGAATACACACAAGAATATCAAATAAACGTGCAAGACATCTACAAGAAACATGTAAGACCACTCCACAAAAATGGCAGAAAAATATAAGGATGTCAAACTTAGAAGAAAATCTAATGATAACACCAACAACGACACCAACAGTGAAAGGTAACAAACTAAAGAAAAACAATAAAAAAACAATGATTATTATAGATGATCATTGATTAATGCATATAGGAAACATTTTCCCTTAAATAAAAACCGAATTATAAATGCGGTTTGAATCTGGTGAACATAAATCACCGGTTATACAGGATAACATCCCTTATTTTTTTTGGAATAATAAATTTCATGGATTTTATAATATATAAACTTATTTATTTATATTAATTATAAAGCTAGGAGGATACTATAGTCTGATTTTAAGAGAATACTTGAAACGAAACGAAAGGGTATTTATACATTAAGGTCATTAATGCGATTCCTCACTACTCTATACAGCTCTTTCTGAGATTTTTCATTATTCGCAACCCTTATCTTGCCATTTTCGATTCTATTTGTACAGTGTCCCATTCTATATATGCAGTTATCACTACTGTTTTTGCCAGATCTGCACAGGATCCGTCCCAAACTATAAAATTTTAAGTTTAGTAATTCTCTAACTAGTGTTTAACAATATTTAAATTCAAATTAAACCCCGTAATCTGAATAATGATAACAATCTAGAATAACTAACAGAGAAATATATAAAATAATGAAAGGTACATGAAAGGAAATTCTTACAGTATGATAAAAACCATCGCTGTTTACATTAATAAGTTTGTAAAACTTTTATTAAACAGGCCTAATAACTTTCTTCTGATGATCTAGATATGGTATTATATTTATTTATTTAATCATATTATATTTAATTTATCTTCATTAACTTCATTAAAGTCAATAATCTGGTTTATTAGCTGTATAAATCTTTCTTCGAACTGCGGATGGACGTTTTTTCGGACTTTTGTCCCAACATTGTTTCATTAAATTATCATAACACATTTTAGAATTTTCAAAGTTGAATCACTTTCATCACTATAAAATATAGTCACAGGCATTCCATACACAATTTTTCACATAATTATTCCAAATTAATAAATATCTGATTTTGTTGTGCATTGACCTCAGTCCAATATTCCGATGTTATATATAAAATCCCTCAAATTCCTCCTGATTCCACCTTTGATATTGAAAGTCCTAAAATCTGCAATATAATGATATGGACTGTTAAATCATATTGTAAAAATCCCTGAGAATGAATAATTTGAAGATCAGAAGCAATAAATGTATAAATTTATTTTATTTTTCCACGTCATTTGTGCTACAGAGAAAAGATTGCCACGCAAAGAACCTATGGGTGATATTCCATAACAAGGATATAATTTTTAGAATTATTATCTCTTGATATTCTAAGGCATCTTAAAAAATGTGGATTTTTATTGCAATATCATGATATGGTTAAAATATTTCAAAACATTTAAATACATTAGCATACAAATAAAATTACCTCTTTTACAAATTTTTCACGATACACTTATTGTGCTATGAAGTAATTTAAATGCAACAGCTCGTATAACGTTTTGGCTTGGATCTAGCCACTCAGCACGATATACTGTTACGAATCCACTTTGACCTATTCTTTCAATAACTTTAAATTCGTCATAAGTAGGGTTGCTGGTGCAAGTGGTGCACCATTGCTGCACCATTAAGTTACCATATAAATTTAAAGCATTGCACCAGTGGCGACGCCACCTGCACCAGCAACCCTAGTCATAAGGAATCCAAAATAACGATAATAGATATTTACTTTCAGTAAATATTGCTTTTAAACCATCATCAATATCTGAACTATCGTATATTCGCCTATTATTGCTAATAGAGGTTCTGTCGTTAGATTCATAAATATATTTAATCATAATCAGTTACCTGATATTTTGTTTCCGTGCTCTAATCGATTTTTTTAACGTTTATAGTTATTAAAATAGCACATTATGGCGTATTTGTCAAGTTTAACTAATTTTTTGTTCTCAAATTTAAGTTTTGGGGACAAAATTTATTATCGATTTTCTAATATTGAACCCAAAAAAAATTATTGCAATTCCGATCTATAATAAAAATGGGTCTAACCCATTTCCCACAGCTAACCCATCTTCCCACTCTTTGAACATTTCATTAGACATATAAATTTATTATTATGACGCACCTTAACCTGGGAAGCATTGACTAAGCCAAAATTACTATTTACGTATTAGCAGTCAAATTTTTTAAATTTTGGGTATTTTACAAATGCGCCGTAATGTATATGCGTTATATATAATAGTAATAAGAATGTAATTACTTATATATTGTCACGGGTTGATTTGTATGGTTCGTAGTTTATACGTGAAAATATAGAGTTTATGGTATAGGTCAACTCGCCAGAGACGTAACGTTGGTAATTTGGTAATAATTTATTAAAAGATTATCAAGAGATTTATTAAGGGAGTTTATTAAGTGTATTGTGTATTAAATATTAGAATCCCGTAGGATGCCTTTTTACAACAGCAAACTCTCAGTACTTTTATAGCTTTCACTATTCTAGAGAATTCAAGAGGCTTAGGGATTAATGACATTTTACATCTTTAAAGAATTCGAGAAATCAATACTAAGGTAGGGGCTTGCAGTAATAATTACAACATATTATGTTAAGGAAAAAGGCTTTGTTTCCTTTACTGCAATATTTCATATTGCCGCCACTTGCTAATATATCTTTTTATCATGAGTTTACTGTGCCCAATTTTGTAGATCCACCTTTTGCCCGTGACAATATGGAGCCATTCATTGCCTTTTGTAAGTCTCTTATTGTTCCAATTCCATTTCAATAAAATTGCCCCCATACGATAAAATCCGTCGGTATAGCCCATCTCAGCAAATTTTTGATAATAAACAAATGCATTATAATCATTCCAAATCCATTAAAATAACAGTCACCAAAGTTAAATATTTCATAAACGTTCCCCTCTCTGCTGATTTTTGATAATAAATGTATGCCTTATGCTCACCTTTTTTTAACTCCAATTCTTTTAATATAAAAAGCTCAAATATGTCATTCCATCAGTATTTCCCATATCAACGAATATCTGATAATGAATGAACGTATTATAATCGTAATCTTCCATCAGGAAAATTAAATAAGTGTAAATCTGTAAAATCTGCAAAAATGCAGATTTTTGCAGAATTTTTTGCAAAAACTGCAAAAGTTTCATAAATTGAAATTTTGCATAGAATTGTAATTAATTTCTTTGACTATATAGCTACTGAGTCTGAAGCTTTGCGCAGATTTTCATTTAATT